CCATCCATCCATCCATCCATCCATCCATCCATCCATCTATCCATCCACCATCCACCCACCCACCCATCCATCCACCTATCCATCCATCCATCCATCTATCATCCATCCATCCCTCTATCCATTCATCCATCCATCCACCCATCCATCCACCCACCCCCCACCCACCCATCCATCCATCCAACCATTCATCCATCCATCCATCCATTCATCCATCCATCCATCAACCCACCCATCCATCCACCCACCCATCCATCCACCCATCCATCCATCCACTCACCCATCCATCCACCCATCTATCTATCCACCCATCCATGCATCCACCCATCCATCCAACTATCCACCCACCCATCCATCCACCCACCCACCCATCCATCCACCTATCCATCGATCCATCTATCCCATCCATCCATCCATCCATATATTCATCCTTCCATCTATTCGTCCATCACCCATCCCTCCCTCCCTCTATCCATCCATCCCTTATCTATCTATCTATCTATCTATCTATCTATCTATCTATCTATCTATCTATCTATCTATCTATCTATCTATCTATCTATTCATTTGTCTGTCTGTCTGTCTACCTACCTATCTACCCATATACCTATCCATCTACCTATTCATCTGTTCTGTCTGCCTGCCTGACTGCCTTTCTGTCTGTCTGTCTCTCTGTATGTTTCCTTAGGTTAACAGACACATACTCAATAGGCTATGTTGGGGATTCCTTTGGTAACTAGAAGAGATGGAAGATCTTTCCCAACCCAGACATTAACCCCAGCGCATCTCCAATGTATCAGCAGCCTGTTCTCCTAGAGAGCTGCATTGATGCTCCACAGTACTGGAGTCTTGTTTGTTTGTAATCTGCACCGTGGGGTGACACGGTGGGAGGACATGGAGTCTCAGGTTGATTTTTGTGGACTTGTGACCCCGTGAAGTTGACAAAGATGTTAACTTCTGCAAATTCTTTATCTTTGTAATTTTTAAAAAGTGTGATGACAAAGGTGACGGGCAGATAGAGGTGACAGTGACATCAGTCGGGTCATGAGCGCATGTCTCTGTGGACCCTGTCCCCCCTTCCCTCGCTCTCTCCCCCAGTGTTTCCCTCCCGTCCCCACCCACCAGTGGGAGAGTTCATTCTCCACCTGGTGTCCAGTGAGGACCACGGCTGCCTCGGTTTCCCCTCTGTCCCCCCATTTCTGTGCCCCCTCACCCTCCCAGAGACAGAGAAACCCACCCAGGAGACAAAGAGAAATAGAAACCACATAGAAGAATAAGATCTCTAGTTTCCATTTCCTGGAGTCCATTGGGATCAATATTATTTCTATGGTCAGAGGCGCAGAGACCTGGAGCCTTAGTTTCTCCCCTAAGTGCATCTTCCTTGGGTCTTACTGTGTGAATATCTAGAGTCCTGTGTCATTCATCACATCCTGGTGTATTTTAGATCTAACTTCTGCCCATGAGAGAAAACCTGCAGCATTTGTCTCTCTGAGCTTAGCTTCACTCACTAAACATGCTTTGTTCTAGGTCCATCCGTTTGCCTGAGAGTGACATCATATTCTTTCTAGTAGCTGAGTAAAATTCCATGGTGTATAGGAATTTGACGTATTGCTTTTGAATTCCTGGAACATTTAAAGACACGAGTTCTAAATTTGTAGTAAGAAATGATTTAAATTAACATAGCATCTGAGCTGCCGAACCAAAATAATTGTGAGATTTTTCAAAGGAAATGTTCCTTTTGTGCCTAACTAGAAAGATTTTTTTTTCCTTATATCCTGAAGATTTAGAAATTGGTTTTAAATTGATTGAGTAAAAGAATGCATATAGGGAAGAATCTATAGAGAGAGGAATTTATAGAGGCCTTTGTGAATTTCAGTAACATCTTTCAGTCATAGATCTTTATATGAATTTTTTTTTGGTGCTAGTCTTGGGACTTGAACTCAGGGCCCCGGTGCTGTTCTTAAGCATTTTTGCTCAGGACGGGTGCCCTACCCCTTGAGCCACATTTCCACGTCCGAGTTTTTGGTGGTCAACTAGAGATAAGAGTCTCTCTAGACTTTGCCTACCCTGGCTGGCTTTGAACTGTGATCCTCAGATCTCAGCTTCCTGAGTCGCTGGGATGACAGCTCAAGTGTTGTGTTTAGCCTTAGCTTTTATTTTCTTTCTTCTTTTGAGAGGCATTATTTTGGAAATGTATTCACCAATGTTTTTTGCAGTGGTCCTGATTTCCCCTCGGCACACCCTGCATTTCAGAAGATAGCGTGCACCGAGAACCACCCTCCAACCACTGCCTGTAAGCAACGAACCAAAGTGGTAATAAAGACAAACGCATAACAGAGGGTTCGATGCCATCATAACCATCTAAAACGAGCTGCGACCATTCAGTTGGAAAACCTGAAGATTCCTAATTTGTTATTATACACTGAGCACGTATTGATCGGTGTGGGCCCAGCCACGTGTGGGATGATGGGAGAGAATAAATCGAGCGGATAGGCTAGGATTTCAGAGAAGAGCTAACAAGCTTCTGGAAAATGCCAGAAGAGTCTACAGAAATGCTCGCAAAGCCTAAGAGAGTTCCTGCACGAGGAGGAAGGTAAACTGCATCCTCGTGAGAAAGAAATGGAAGTCTTAACACACAAATCAGATTTTTCTCTTTTCTTCCACATGTCTGCTGATGGCAGTAAATATTCCCTTTAAGGCCTAAATGGTTTCTTACAGGCTCTTGAAATCTTATTTCATTCCAAACCACCTGTAAGGATCGATTTTTTTTCCCCCCGCCAACTCAATTTAGCAAACAAACCTTTATCGATTGCCTATTTATATGGGGTGTTAGGTGGGATGATAGATATTAGATAGATATTACAGAGATAGATGCATTCCCCATGCTCAAGACACACATGTGGAAATACACTACAGCATGGGAAATGACAACACCCTAACACACACACACACACACACACACACACACTTAACCCAACAGTTTTGTGTGTGTGTGTGTGTGGAACACCTGCCATTGTTTCTTTGATGATAATTTATCTACAGTGATATAGATATAGGAACTCTAAAGTGATGAAAAAAGTGTGTGTGTGTGTGTGTGTGTGTGTGTGTGTGTGTGTGTGTTAGCCCTGGGTCTTGAACTCAGGGCCTGGGCGCTGTCCCTGAGATTCTTTCTCTCAAGACTAGTGCTCTACCACTTGAGCCACAGCTCCACTTCCAGTTTTCTGGTGGTTCCTTGGAGATCAACATCTCACAGACTTTCCTGCCTGAGCTGGCTTTGAACTGTGATCCTCAGATCTCAGCCTCCTGAGGAGCTGGGATGACAGTTATACCAAATGTTGTTTTTAAGAAATAGGACAGAGATCATCTTTTGAAGGCCTGAATTTTTACCATTTGATCGTACAGCAAGTCTTGCTGTGCAAAAAATACGTTCAGGTGAGTCTTCTGGAAAATTTTCTACACTGTGATAAACAGTCAATAATCTACTTCATCAAACATTCTACGTATTATCGATACTCAGCACTCAGAATGAGATCAACAGTCCATTTGGCAGGGGCTAAGAGAGTTCTGTTGCTCACATTTGCTTGAGTTTTCTAAATAAAGTCACCTTCAAGTTGACAATTTTTTTTTCTCCTGGCAATGAAACATTGATGACTCAGTTACATGGCATAATTTTGCTTTAGTCAGATTTTTATGACATATATTATATATACAAATATGTATTTTCTTTATATATTTATTATGATAGACAGCATATAAAATAGAATATATTATATATATTTAAAATATATTATATTGTATAAAATATATTTTATATTATATAAAATACATATAAAATATACTACATATTATATTTTAATATCTATGCTATATAAAATGTAAGATATAAATATATTATAGCTTGGTATATATATTTAATACAATATGTTTGTATGTAAACATAATATGCATTATATAATGAAATAAAGATATATTCCTATGAATATATAATAAACATAATATATAACAGAAAAGAATAAAATATTTGCAATATGAATCCAAATCATTTTGACTTAGCAATTCTGGCAAAACTGTTTGGATAAAGCAGAGAAAAAAAAGGAGACTTATCAGTCTGTTTCCCTTTCGTAGTGGAAGGGACTTAATCATAAGTTGCGCTTCTAAAGCCGTTCCTCCCATTGTGCTTTTCACATTTGCCTCTGACAAAAAATGATTGATAATGCGCTACCTTATTTAGGGCTAAAAGGTGTTCTCAATTTCATCCTTATGACATATACCAAAAGGGTGTGTGTGTGTGTGTGTGTGTGGATTCTACTCACCCTTTTGGAAACAATGGGAGACTGGTCCAGGCCAGTAAATGTCTACTGTCATGTTCGTGGACAGTCCCAAACAGTTTCACAGTGAGCATCGATTCCCTGGGAAGCGATTTTATTTCAAGAGGAAAAGTGATCCTAAATAAACCAAACCAAAACAGAACAAGATATCAAAGAACAAAATACCACACCAATGGAGTTTCAGTATTATTTCTATAAGGATGATTTTATAATGCGTTGGGCCAAAGTTATTTATCTATCTGCGTGAAGTTATCTCCTTGAAATAGTTTCGGTAATTTGTCACTTTTATTGTTATGAATGCATGCATAATGGTGCATTTATTCATGTTATGCAGGGGATCATTCGTGTTCGTGTTCAGGCCATTAAGTGTGACACAACTGTAAATATTCTTGCCCATATTTTCTTAGCTTTGGTTGTGCAGGTCATGTGCGTCTGGGTTTTTGGCTCAAATGTTGGCTGGGTTGAATTTTTACTTAGAGACACTGGGAAAATGTTCACGTTAAAGGTTATTTAGGCCAGGCTCTGTGGCTCATGCTGTAAGCCCAGCTACTTAAGAGGCTGACATCTTAAGGATTGTGGTTTGAAGAGATCTTAGCAGCTGGAATTCAGGGCCTGGGTGCCATTTCTGAGTCATGATGTTCAAGGTTAGCCACAGTTCTACTTCTAGTTTTCTGGTGGTTCACTGGAGATAAGAGTCTTATTATAGACTTTCCTGCCTGGGCTGGCTTTGAACTTTGATCCTCACATCTCAGCCTCCTGAGTAGCCAAATGGACTTTTAATCTCTTGAATTAACAATGATCTCTAAGTAGTAAGATATTTATCCTAGCATTAAACCAACTCAACAGGCAGCATTTATTATTATTTTTTAAACATAGCCTTTGCTTGAAACAAAGAAAAAAACTGACTTTTCTTTGCTTTTTTAAGATAAATGATTTAACCAAATGGAGATGACACTCACATTTCATTCCAGTTGACCAAGAAAAAGAATAATTTTTTAGCTGGAATAGTCCTGTAGTTTTGCACTTGGCATAGCTTCTTTCCAGCATACGTAAGCCAGCAGGAAAAAGAGAATGCATTATAGCTAAAGAGGGAGAGATACACACACAGAGAAATTACATAAATTAAAAATCACCCTGATGCGATCAGCTTAACATCTGAAAGGAAATAGCTTTGTCAGTGAGTCATCTGTTTTTGGAGAGTCGAAAAAGCCCAATGAGGAAATGAAGTTGGCTTGCTGAAAAGTGTTTTCCAGATCTCTGGGACAAGCGATGTTGAGTTTTTGTGCCCAAGGCTGGGTGGTGCTCTACTACCTGAGCCACAGCGCCCCTTCTGGCTTTTGGGGTGGTTCATTGGAGATCAGAGTCTCAAAGACTTTCCTGTTTGGGTTTGGCTTTGAACCTTGATCCTCAGATCTCAGTCTCCTGAGTAGCTGGGATGACAGGCGTGAGCCACCGGTGCCCGGCTTGATTAATTGTTTTCATTGGCACATAGTAACTGCATAGAGTAACGTGTTCCATGGTGACATTTTTCCACTTTGGTGGGATTGTTACCCTGTTATTCCCTCCTCTCCCTCCCATCTTTTTGTTTTGTTTTGTGTTTGCTAAATAGTCCCCTTCTGACTTCCAATGGCTTTCATCATTTTTCTTAGACTCTCACAGATCAGAGAAAACACATCCTACGAGTCTAAGTGTAGATCACTTGCTCAACTTCAGAAAGACCAGAGTGAGTTCTTTCCTATTTTAAAATTCTTTCCATTTCTCCCTACATGCATTTCTTCCTTCTTTCTGTCTTTCTCTGTCTAAGCCTTCTGTCTCTCTGTTTCTGTCTCTCTCTGCATCTGTCTCTCTGTCTCTGTCTCTCTTTGTTTCTGTCTCTATTTCTTTCTCTGTTTCTCTCTTTGTCCACCTCTGCTTTTCTGTTTCAGTCTTTCTCTACATCTGTCTCCTTCTGTGTCTTTCTGTCTTTTTCTCTATGTCTCTTATCCTTTTCTCTGTCTCTCTGCTTCTGTTTCTGGCTTTCTTTTATGTCTGTCTCTCTCTTTCTGCCTGTATCCGTTTCTCTGTCTCTTGCCTCTGTTTCTGTCTCTGTTCCTTTCTCTTTCTGTCTCTCTTACCTCTCTCTGTGTCTCTGATCTCTATCCATCTCTCTGTGTCTCTGTTCCTTTCTCTCTCTTTCTATCTCTGTCTCTTGTCTCTCTCTCCCACCCTCCATCAACATTAGTCAGACTTGGTTGTAAGAAAATGAACAAACAAACAAGAACAACAAAAACCAATTTAAAATAGACACTAGATCGTCCGGCATTTTCTGCTTCCATACTGACATGTTGACAAGAACAACTACTCTTCCCTTGGAAAATGGAAGAAGAGGGAGAGGAAATACCCTTTGGGAAGCAGGCATATCAGTAACCAATGATTTTTAAGAACAAGGGCAATCCCATGTCAACGATCTTCCAGAATTATACAAAAATCCAAGCCTTGGCAAAAAGAAGAACAATCTGTGCTCTAATTGGAAGCTATGGAAAAATAAAAACTCATAATTATAATTATTCTTAATGATGTCTATGTATATTAGATGATAGTCATGTTGTTAGAACATATTATTATATTATCATTATATATTATTATATGTAATATATTATTATCATAGCATAATGATATGATGCATTATTATTATTATTGTCATCAGTATTATTTGTGAGCAAGCCCATCAAGGCTCACCTGTGTACCCACGGCTGCGGGAAGTTGTAAACGGCGCACACAGTGAAGCTAAGGTGGGAATGGAGTCCGGGGTCGATGGGAGGAGAACTTCTAGGTGCAGACAGGAGCTGAAAATCTGTATAAAAGCTATTGCAGTAGACATCCAATAGCTGGTGGATGGCCCCGGAAAGTTCCACTGTTCTTTTCTTGATCAGGCCTAAAGGAGGGAAAGAGAGATGGATCAGGACATTGATGAAGAGTCCCATCGACTGGAAGCCATCGAGGCCAGCGTTCCCATTTCTCAGGCGACCATTTAAACAGAATGCAATGAAAATGACCCCTACGCGAGACAGGAGCCAATCTCCCATCTGAACACAGCCTGACTTCATTGTCAGCAGGCTGTGATCTCTCACAGCTTGAGGAAACAGGAATTGCGCAAGAACAGAGTTTGGGGGCACATGTCGGAAGTTCGTTTCCTGTTATCATTATTATCCATGAGGCGCGCTGGTCCTCTGTCACTTGAGAGCATTTTCCTTTGGTTTATGCTTATCGTTAGCCAAGGACCTGATTCTACCTCGTCAGGGTGGAAGTCCTCAGAAGAGCTAACTTAAGACTAACCAGATGGATTACCAGGAGGCTGGACCTTGAGGTATTAGGTGGAGAGAGGTGGAGGGGAAGAGGGTGGATGGGTGGAGAGAAGAAGGGAGGGAGGAAGCAGGCCTTGTATTTCATGTTCATGTGAGAACCTGGAGCCAGGTAAACTGAGGGAGGGGTGGGTGGGGAGAGACGGGGAGGAGGGGGGAAGGGGCGATGCGCATCAAGTTGCTTTAGGCACAGTAGCATGGTACGTGCAAACTCCTCTGTACAGCTCAAGATAACAACAACAGAAATTAACATTTCAGGCACTTTGTGAATTCATGCCTACCTTTAATTTTTGATTGACTTGAGGATGAGCCAGGGTGAACTGGGTTAGCATTTTTTTTCCCTGTAATCAGGTTACAAAGGAAGAATTGGTGGGCTGGGCAGGTGGCTCAGCGGTAGAGCGCTCACCTTGCATGCACGAAGCCCTGGGTTTGATTCCTTAGTTCCCACATACACAGAAAAAGCCAGCCATGGAGCTGTGGCTTATGTGGTAGAGCACTAGCTTTGAGCAAAAGAAGCTCAGGGACAGTGCCCAGGCCCTGAGTTCAAGCCCCCCAGGACTGGGAAAAGAAAAAAAAAGAATTGGTTGATCTTTAACACTCATCACATACATTTTGAACATATATATATATATATATATATACACACACACACACATATATATATACATATTATACATAATCATATATACCAAATATTATAATATACTATATTATTATACACTACATATAATATATAACTATAGTATATATTTTTCATTCTTCTAAGTGTAATCTACAAGGATGATTTATACCGAAGTGTGTATATATGTATAATATATATGTATACACACGTATGTGTGTATATATCTATCAATATAAAGGAAAAAAAATGGACTTACAGCTTCAGGTAATGGGGGAGAAGTTGAAAGGACATCTCACCATATCACTAGACATAATTTTTTTGGGGTCAGTCCTGGGGCTTGAACTCAGGGCCTGGGCACTGTCCCTGAGCTGCTTTTCACTCAAGGCTAGTGCTCTACCACTTGAGCCACAGCTCCACTTTCTGGTGGTTCCTTGGAGATAAAGAGTCTCACAGATTTTCCTGCCCAGGCTGGCTTTGAACCTCCATCCTCAGATCTCAGCCTCCTGAGTAGCTGGGATGACAGGCGTGAGTCCCGGGTGCCCGGCTAGAAATGATTGCTCACAGATTTGCTGAGATAAGATTCTAGCACGTGAACAATCCACACCCTTGGCAGAGTTGCTCATTGAAATACATGCAACATTCTTAAATATTGCTGTAGAAACTTAAGTTGCCTTCAGGCAACTTAAGAAGAAAACTGTAGGAGGAAGATTTTCTCTGTCCAGGGTCTGTACCATTCTAGCTTCTACCTGGAGTTCCTACCCACGTCCTGTCCCTCTATCCTAGTTAAACCAGCTCTATCCTAATTAAACCCTTTTTAAATTTTTATTTTTGCTGTGTACAACATGCCTCATTATTCACTTAGCTCTGCATAAATGTGGACCAAATCTCTGATAGGCAAATTTTACTTATGTGCTTCATTTCTTCAATGGCACCCCTTTTGTTGGAATGGCTTGGGGGGGTGGAGATATAGAGGAGCAGAAAACGCTCTAATTAAATGTCTCTGAGCAATCAACAGTAGCAATTAGTGAAGCGGAAGATGAAAGCAGAGTAAAAATAGCAGCGGCAAGAGCCCTCGACGCTCACCAACCAATGGGGAATTTCCTCAGCAGAAGGAAAAATTCCTAGAAACATCTTATTCTCCAATCTCCAAGTGGTCCCAGTGGTACCCAGAAACAGGAAGGCAGGATGCGTATGCATACGTGTATGTATTTATGCATCCATGCATAGATGCATAAATGTGCAGATACACACATGCACAAATAGGCATACATGCGTATGCAGATGTTCATTTGCATATATGCATCTAAGATACATCATGAAGTTGAATCAAGCTCTCTCTCTCTCTTTCTCTCTCTCTCTCTCTCTTTTATGCCAGTACTGGGGATCCAACTCAGGGCCTCTAGCTCCTGGCTCAGGATAGTGTTTTATTATTTGAGCTCTGTCTCCAGTCTGGCATTTTCCTGTTTCCTTGGAGATAAGAGTTTCTTGCATTTGTCTATTTTGGGCTCTGAACCTCCATCCTCCGATCTGAAGTCTCTTCAGTGACGTAGATTACAGGTGTAAGTCACCAGAGGTGTAGGAGATTATTCTTTTTATTATTATTATTATTACTATTATTATTGCCACTGGTTCCTGGCTATTTATTTTTTTTAAATATTTAAAAATATTTATTTCTAAATATTTGAATACAGCCATGCATCGATTTATTTCTATTTATTTATTTTTACCTTTTCCTGACGTCTCCGAATCTGGCTGAACATTCTAAAAGAGGAGTTTATAAAAAAAAAAAAAAAGGAAAGAAACGTTACTCAGACCACAAGATAACACCAGAATCAAATCAGTAGTATCCAAAGCTAAATAATACAAGCTTTCCCCAGCAAAGGAGGAAGTTGGGGATGCGTCCGTCATGGTATCAACATCAATGAATTCCTTTTCCCTTCGGGTCATCTGAGTGTCACAACAGCCGTTCACCTCCAGATCTGTGGACAAGAGCCGTCACCTCTGGACGATGACTGACATGTGCCCTGGCTTTACTAGAATTCAGCTCAGCCGGGACTACAGACGTGAGTGAAGAGCCGGGCCCGCATCCCAGAGTGCATCTCTGTGGGGCCTGGGGGTTCTCCCCCACACACAGAGGGGGAAGGAGGGCTCATTCGTGAATCGAGAGCTGTTCCTTGAGTCCCTGGGATCTGAATGTGAAGGATAGAAAAGGGTTTCCAGGGCTCAGAGCAGCAGCCTAGAGTAGAAGAGTCTCTGCATGAATGACCCAGCTCTTCATCTGGCCCAAATCAGCACTTGATACATACCTGATAGATACCTTCCAGGGCTAACTAGAAAGAGCCTTGGAGAGTTGACCCCCACAAAAAATACAGCTGAAGGAAAGGAGGGTTTCTCAATTTTCAGTTTCCTGGCAGAACACCTCTAGCTTTTGTGGTTTTTTTTGGTTTTGTTTTGGTACTGGTCCTGGGTCTTGAACTCACAGCCTGGGCGCTGTCCCTGAGCTCTTTCACTCCAAGCTGGCGCTCTACTACTTGAGCCACAGCTCCACTTCTGGTTTTCTGGTGGTTCATGGGAGATCAGAGTCTCACAGACTTTCCTGCCCAGGATGGCTTTGAACCGTGATCCTCAGATCTCAGCCTCCTGAGTCACTGGGATGACAGGCGTGAACCACTGGCGCCCGGTTGAATTTTAGCAGTGTGAGCATCAACTCTGGGTAACAGAATGAATACCGGAAGATCACCTGCCTGGCAATTGGGTGAGGAATGAGTACAAATAAACCAGAATTAAAGAGTGGGATTCAAAAGAGTCTATCAAAAAGCAATGATGGCAGGTGCCCTTTAGCTGTGGTTTGGTGACTGCAGCTTTCCATATCTACCAATATCAAATGGAAAATTCCAGAAAGAACCGATACACAGAGCTGCTTCATTCTGTAGGTAATCCGGAGATATTCACAGTCTCATCTTTCCCAACCAATTGCTTTGTTGTCAGTCACATAATTCCTTTGTCATCTGGTTTACCACAGAACGGGATTCTGTGGTAATTACATTCAACTATCCTCTGTTTTCTTTAATAATGGCCCCCAAATGTCAGAGTGCTGATACTGGTGCTTTTTGTTGGGGTACACTGTTATAATTGTTCTGTTTTTATTAAACTTTATCATAGGTATGGTTGTGTAGCTGAAACTTGATATCTAAGCTGAGCACTGGTGGCTCCCGCCTGTCAGCCTAACTACTCAGGAGGCTGAGATCTGAGGATCGTGGTTCGAAGCCAGCCCGGGCAGAAAAATCCGTGAGACTCTGATCTCCAATGAACTACCAGAAAATAGCAGAAGTGGAGCCGTGGCTCAAGTGGTAGAGCGCCAGCCTGGAGTGAAAGAGTTTAGGGACAGCACCTAGGTCTTGAGTTCAAACCTCATGACAGACAAAACAAAACAAGAAACGTGTTATCTTGGGTCATATTCATACCTCCCAAAGATGAACGAGATTACTGTATTGTTATTAGCACTATTAATTATTATCACTTACGGTATCTTTTTGCCTTAACATCTTATCAAACCAACAAGAATATATTCTTTTAAGCTGATACTTAAGATTTCTCTTAGGCAATAACCACTCCTTCTGATCTTTTCTTTTCTTTACTTTTTCTTTTGTTAATGCTAGTACTGAGACTCAGAGTCCCGGTGTTATCTCTTAGCTTTTTGGTGATGGCTCATGTCAGACATTGGCATAGTGATTGAGCTATGCTGTGCGCGCGTGCGCACACACACACACACACACACACACACACACACAGCTAGTGCTCATCCCCCCCAGTTAATACATTATGCTCAGCTGTAACCCGACATTCACCTCTGCTGTTCTCTGGACAGCAACGCCGACGAGCCCCAGGTTGTTGATGGCCTCTGTGATCTGTCTGGTCTCGATGCACCCCAGAACCCCACAGATGTCCCTCACTTCTTCGGTCAGGCCCTTCACACAGTGCTGTAGATGACAAACGCACACGTGGCCACTCATTAAGATGAAGACTGCATTCAGTTATCTCCCAGCGACTTCTCTTTTCCACCGAGAGGGAAGAGGATAGGAACATGGGGCGCTGTCCACACAGTGGCTGAACCCCAATTTGCAGCGGTAGGACCAACGCCACACCAGTGTGCAAACGGAGCGACACATCTGTAACATCAGAATCCATCGTTATGGATTATACTGATTTATTTAACCCGCTTAATGCGATCATCGTCTATTAGTAATGCATCATGTTGATGAGAGGGAGGGAGAGGAGGAAGAATGGAAAGAAGGAAGGAGAGAGACAAAGATGGACTTACAGCACAGAAATGCTGCGAAGAGCTATTGTACAGTGTAATACTGCTAACGACAACAACAATAATAATAACAGTAATCTGTTTTTTTCTTTGGGAGATATGAATACGACCCAATGGGTACTGAAACCTTCCGTGCCAATATAGATATCACTTTTTTTTGTTTGTTTTGTTGTGCATGAGTTTTGAACCCAGGGCCTGGGCGCTGTCCCTAAGCTCTTTCACTCAAGGCTGGCGCTTTACCATGTGAGCCACAGCGCCACTTCCAGTTTTCTGGTGGTTTATTGGAGATCAGAGTGTCACAGACTTTCCTGCCCTGGCTGGCTTTGAACTGTGATCCTCAGCTGTCAGCATCCTGAGTATCTGGTGGCTCACCTCCGTCATCCCAGCTACTCAGGAGGCTGAGATCTGAGGATCAAGGTTCAAAGCGAACCAGGGCAGTGAAATCCGTGAGACTCTTATGTCTAAGGAACCAGCAGAAAGCTCCAAAGCAGGAATTCATTGCATTCTAGAAAATTCTAGCTGTTGGTAGAGGTAAGAGGATGAGCAGAACCCTGGAAAAATCAAAATCTAGGTGGACAGGTGGTACCTACAAAGACTTACACCTAATGATAAAGGGAAACTGAGGCTCCTTCATATTCCGAGTCTTCCTATGAAGGAAAAGGAAAAAGTGAACCTGAAAAACTAACCCCTACCTCTTCTTTCCTATTTGTCATTGCGG